TGAACCAAAGGCCCACTGGTCCCTACTACTTATGCAATCTCATTAAAATTAAACTTATACTTGATAACCTTTTGTCGAATTCGTATTATATTAATATGTTGGATTATAGAATTGTTGTACTGTTTTTGTCGTGCGTAAATTGTATAGGGTTAACAACATACAATCAATTTATTAAGTAGGTTTTGTGAGTCAAATCCGGACTCAAAAAAGTCTAATTTTATGACTAGTATGGATTTGCATAGAGTTAAAAGATGGTTAAAAATTATTTGACAACCACCAATAGTTTAAGAATCTGTGCAATTTTTGTTTGTTATTTTCCTTAATTCTTTTCCTAAAACCTTGTCAAAAACCCAAGTATTGGATTTGTCATTCTAACCGATGATCAAAATTTTGTTTTGATTCGTTATTTTGGTCACCTAAGAAATATAAATATTTTGACGTGGTTTGAAAATATTTCGATTTGTTTCAGAAACAAAATAAAAAAGATAAAAAAAATTAAGAATTATTTTTCTAAAATATTGGTTGAAATATCTTAAAATATTTCAAAACAATTGTACAAATACATTAAAATATTACAAAACACCTCAAATTATTATAAAATATTATAATTTTGATTCAATTACTGATTCCCTTTAAAACGAAAACGTTTCAAAAATTTTGCCTCTTTCTTCTTGTAACTGAAACTTAAGGTTTCGCTATAATTAATTGCTTATGCATTCATTTTAAAACTTTCTTGTGCTGCAACTCTCCCAATAGTCGCATAATCTTTAGTGTGGTCGTTGGTAATCTTATGTACAACAGTCAGAAAATGGACGGATATAATTTCATTTTCTGTCCCATCTCTCAATAATAATATGGAAACTCCCACATAGACTAGACAATAGAGTAGGTGTAATCTTATGGAAAAAGGGGCCAGTCCCTCACAAATTGTAACCCCTAAGAGCTTCTATATGAGATGAGCTAGATGACATAAAATCTTTAAATTTTAGTTATTTAATTTAAAATTTTCATTCTAATAGATTATTTTTAAAACATTTAAAATAATATTTTGCTATAGTGATGCTCTAAATATAAAATATCACTATAGCGATATGTAAAATTTTGTTATAATATTTTTTCTCTCTTCCTCTCCTTTTCTCCGTTCTCTCTCTTTCTCTCTTTCACTATTTTAAAAAAAAATAATATAAAATGAATGAGAAATAATATTTAAAATGAGTATTTAAAAATATAAAAAATCTGTTGAAGTGTATTTTGAAAAAGTGAGCAATTAAAATAAAAAATATTTATTTATGTGTAGTTAAAATATTTTTTGTTGTTGTTGTTAGAGATGGTCTAAGGCTTGATTGTCCAATCTTTTGGGTCTCATGGGGGTACAAGGTTAGCTAAAATGGACGAATTGTCAATTTAGATATCTTGTGTTCAAATTTTGACAATTCTTTGAATTTAGATCATGAGAGATTTATCTCTCATGAATATTTTAGTCCTGACATGGATCATCTACCTTTGATGGGATCAAAGAGGGGATTAGTCGAGGTGTGCATAAGCTGATTTAAAAAATCCTAACCGTTGAAAAAAAAAATGATGGATTTTGTGTGGTAGGAGGTTTGACAACAAATCGAATTTCGATTTCTTTGTAAAATTGATAATTTTTTTTTATAATCTATATTCTAATATTATAAAAGTGAAAGAATACAGTATAATTCGAATGACTCAATTAAGATGAATTTTAACAAATTGTATTTGCGTTTTGACTCAATTTGCTCATGTATTTCTGTACATATATATGATTCAGATTGAATTCAAATTGAATCGGATATTAATATATTCCAATCTGAATTTCATGAATTATGATGTAATTGAGTCAGATTATCAAAAATATCAATTATATTTGACTAATAACATTCGGATCAAATGCCAATTCTATGTTTTGTTTTTGTTTTTTTTTTGTAGTTCAACGGCGAAGAGTGGCTAGAACAACTTCCAGATACCATGACCCCAGTTAAAATAATTGATGGGGACTATGAGTANAATACAGTATAATTCGAATGACTCAATTAAGATGAATTTTAACAAATTGTATTTGTGTTTTGACTCAATTTGCTCATGTATTTCTGTACATATGTATGATTCGGATTGAATTCAAATTGAATCGGATATTAATATATTCCAATTTGAATTTCATGAATTATGATGTAATTGAGTCAGATTATCAAAAATATGAATTATATTTGACTAATCACATTCGGATCAAATGCCAATTCTATGTTTTGTTTTGTTTTTTTTTTTTTTGTAGTTCAACGGCGAAGAGTGGCTGGAACAACTTCCAGATACCATGACCCCAGTTAAAATAATTGATGGGGACTATGAGTATCCATGTGCNTTTTTTTTTTTTTTGTAGTTCAACGGCGAAGAGTGGCTGGAACAACTTCCAGATACCATGACCCCAGTTAAAATAATTGATGGGGACTATGAGTATCCATGTGCAAGAGTCTTGCCTTCATTTCTGGACAAATAGCTTTCACTGGATATGCACTTATCCTCATTCTATAATTATTTGAAACAATCTACAATTTTCTGTTTGGATGCTCATATAATACGATATATCGTCGACATGTGATAGGCATTACTATAGCCTTGTTGTGGTAGAACATCGAAGATAAACACCAATATAATTTCTTTTTTTGTATTAACTATTTCGGCTCGACTCTTTTATATAAAATGATACGAAAATCTTTTAATATTTCAAACATAATATACGAAAAAAAAAATTATTAGAACTTTCTTTCGGAATAGGTTATTGAAATAATTATTTTATCCTCATTTGTCTAAGTTACAAAATTTTAAAACCAACAAAAAATGGGGTAAATATAAGGGGTTTTTAATAACACAACTTAAGGCTTAAAACTGAGTACTTTAAAAACTTAATAAATTAAACTTGTTTGATAATTTAAAATTCATACCACTTAATATTTTAAGTATTTCTTAAAAATATGCTAAAATTTTAAGTAGTAAGTCACTTACTTATTACTTAATGTTCAAAATATTAATCAATAAAGATTTTATCAATTTCTTGTAATGAACAAATATACCTTCAATGTATTTTATACTTTTAACTTTTCAATAACAACCACCCACCACCATCACCACCACTATTATGTCACCGTCACCATCNTATTACTTAATGTTCAAAATATTAATCAATAAAGATTTTATCAATTTCTTGTAATGAATAAATATACCTTCAATGTATTTTATACTTTTAACTTTTCAATAACAATCACCCACCACCATCACCACCACTATTATGTCACCGTCACCACCACTGTCATCACCGCCATCACCAACATTATTGTCATTATGCCACCACCACTGTCACAATGGTGATAGCGTTAGGAACAAGGTAATTGCCGAGAATGGTTAAAATAAAGAACAAAAAAAAAATAAAAATAATTTTCAGACTTCAGTTTCTTATATTTGTTAAACAATTTAATTCAATTCAATACTTAAATTTTAGTTGATACCAAACAGTCTACAAATTAAAAAATTTAATATTCAACACTTAAAATTCAGCATTCAGTGTTCAACTTTTAATTTGATCAAACACCGTGTTTTACTTAATGTGTCTTTGTCTTACCTAATAATAGGAAATTAATAAAAATAACATCTTTAAAATATTAAAGACGCTGTTCCAATTTGGGTAGCTCATGGGCTAGATACTCCAGACCCAGCCTGGAGTAGTATTTGGCCCAGCCGACTGTANACTTTTAATTTGATCAAACACCGTGTTTTACTTAATGTGTCTTTGTCTTACCTAATCATAGGAAATTAATAAAAATAACATCTTTAAAATATTAAAGACGCTGTTCCTATTTGGGTAGCTCATGGGCTAGATACTCCAGACCCAGCCTGGAGTAGAATTTGGCCCAGCTGACTGGACCTGCCGACATGACCCACCCCTAGTGACTAGGTTTCAGTCTCATTATCGCTCAACAATTTACAAAGACGTTAACGGTTAACTTTAAACGGCCACGTCTCCGCTATTGGTCGTTAAGGTCGCAGCTGTATAAATTTTTTTTTTTCCGAAGCCATCATTTACAACAATCAGGCATCAAGAAACACTTTCAGAGCTTTTGGTAATGAGTAATGGGTACCTTTCAATGCATTAACTTTGTTCCACTTACCTGATTCAATGCTAACCAGTTAAGTGTTTACTTTTACAACAAGTTTCTCAGAGCATTTCCAGATTTTTCAAATGGTTCTTTTTTCTTTGCTGCTGTTGTCATTTTGACTCTGTATTTCTATCACCACAAGTAAGCATAACAATTGCAATTTTCCAGAATTGGTCATCAGCCATTCTCGCNAATGCTAACCAGTTAAGTGTTTACTTTTACAACAAGTTTCTCAGAGCATTTCCAGAATTTTCAAATGGTTCTTTTTTCTTTGCTGCTGTTGTCATTTTGACTCTGTATTTCTAACACCACAAGTAAGCATAACAATTGCAATTTTCCAGAATTAGTCATCAGCCATTCTCGCTCTCTCTCTCTCTCCTGGTAAGTACCACTAGCCATTCTCATCCATCACGTTTACCAAAACTGCTTACAATATGGGCTCCTTTTATAGTCATGTGAAATAATTTTGGTAGAGATTACTCTGTCCAAGTAACCCAAGGCTATAATTCGCAGGGCTACCCCCTCAACACTCATCAATGGAAATCCAACTTGCAAGCATTGCAATGTTGCTTGCACTCATTGAGGGAAATCCCGACTTTCAAGCAACATTGCAGTTGTTGCTTGCAAGTTGGGATTTCTGAACATCTCTAGCAGGACATCAGATTACATANACCCAAGGCTATAATTCGCAGGGCTACCCCCTCAACACTCATCAATGGAAATCCAACTTGCAAAGCATTGCAATGTTGCTTGCACTCATCGAGGGAAATCCCGACTTTCAAGCAACATTGCAGCTGTTGCTTGCAAGTTGGGATTTCTAAACATCTCTAGCAGGACATCAGATTACATAAAAAGCACGTTAAAAGGTGCTTATCCAAACAGCTTACCATTAAGTAGACTAGTAAACTTACGACAATTCTGTTACAACAAGACTTCTATACTCGGGCACTTATCGCTCTGTGGCAAGTGACAACCACACTGAGGTAATATGATAAATAATGTAGACAATAGTTATGATCTCCCAAATAAGCAGAGATTGGTTATCATAGAGCAGACTTACTAGAGATGAATGCTGATTCTCATAAGCTTGAGGGAGTTCGCGATTAACCAGTGACCGTGGGCTGTTAGTCAACAGCAAGTGCTTGTAGGGCTTGGGCTCTTAGTTTTCAGGCTTCATCAACGATCTACAACACAGAATGGGATAATTTACAAGAGACAAGAAGCTCGCAAGTCTATGACACCGAGTGCTAAAACTAGCACCGTCACTGAATACTCTTTAGCTACCATACATCTTTCAGCACAAACTGAGAGCTGCTGCAACCTCTAATCATTTGATCAAAATTATCGGTTATTTGATACAACAAAATTTAAACAAGCAAGCCTGGAGAAAGATGCAAGCCTCAATCATCTGAGCTATATTCACTAGAGTCTGGTAGCATGGGCACAGCAGCACAGCAAAATGACTCCTTGTCCTTAACAAGAAGACAGCTCCCGTCTAAATTCCATTTCAGATCAGTCACAGTAAATTGCGGTAATGGAACACTGACGCAGTAAGCACCAGAGGGCGTCCACATGTACAAGTGTGAGCTTCCCGTGCACAAAACAAGCCGCGTGCATGTAGGGTCCCATGCTGCTGCTCGAATGGGATCTTTTTGTACCAAGATGGCAGCAAGCTCAAGATGGTGGATGTCCCATATCCAAAGAACAGTTGGCATACTGTCATTGCGAGTACATATAAATTGGCTGTCACTGCTCCAAGACAAGAGACCTGCAATTGTGGCGTATTAACCAATTAACTTTAATGGGCCCTGGTTAGAGAAATAACTAACTAACATACGCATTTGGTTTTTATGGATAATTTTGTCAGCATGTCATATATCAATAAACTTTTAATGGAAGGCTCCTTGTATGTGTTTCCCAAAAAAATTAGATGTAAGATTCTGGAAGGATTTTTTCACCAGTTCTGCTTATAAGGACATATAATTTGGCACAGCTTGGTTTGACAAAAAAATCCTACCATACCAAAAGCTCGGCCAAGAATTTTTGAGAAAAATACAATTAGCTTCAATTTATTTCTCTCATTTTATTTTTGTTGACCAACTTTGTGTCATTTGTTTATAAAATCTTTTCAACTGCATCCGTCTTCATCAATGCCAAAGAATGCAAAATATGGGTAAGTCCAGTTATTCAGTATTACAAAGAACATCAATCTTGCAACTCTTTCGGTAATTCACACCATATCGATGTCCTATATTTTGTTCCACAGAGCTGAAATCAAGTATAACTTATATTTGCCAATATAAAAATGTGTTATTCTGGTCAGCTGTTTCTTGCTCCATTCTCTTTCTTCTTTCTGCTAGTAGAAGATAACTTCTTCGAATGGGAAAACTTAGATACATGTATACCAAAGGAGGACAACAGAGCTTACCAATTCCTTGTTTTGGGTTTGGTTTGTCTGCAAGAGGCTTCTGGAATGGCAAGGTAATGGGCATTTCCATTACGTCATACCTGACTTGGATGTGTCCTTCAGGCTCATTCTCTAAATCCAGAAAGTGAGAAAAATATTAATCCATTAAAAGATTGGAATCTGCCTGCTACGTAATTAAGAAAAACAAGAATGATCAGAATATACCATTGAAATGCAAAAATGCTCACACCATATATACATAAAAACTAGTTGTAATATTAAATTAAATAGATTAGAAAATTTTGCATACTATCTTAGTACTACTGTACAGCATACAAGTCAAGGAAAGGTGCACTAGTTGACAGCAATTACTGTTTAATACTAAAACTTACCTTCAAAGATGGCAAGCACATATTGAAACTTCTATGTGACAAAATGTCATTCATGGAATCCTCTTCTATTTTTACATGATTTACTCCAATCTCACCATAGGAAGAAACCCATTCTTTGAGATCCACTTTCCCTCCTCTCCACCTATGTCTGATTTGCGATTGTCTCTTTACTTCTTTAAGCAAAGGAAAAGGTAACTCCAAAGCGAAGACAACTGTGGAACTAGGTGGGGGCGGTCCAGTGAGCAATTGGCTAGACANTTTAAGCAAAGGAAAAGGTAACTCCAAAGCGAAGACAACTGTGGAACTAGGTGGGGACGGTCCAGTGAGCAATTCGCTAGATAGTGTGACTTTGTGGGTCCAACCTTTACTGCCCACCATTGCCCAATTTCTTTTTATTTCCTTACTTCCTTAAGCAAAGAGAAGCCATACAGGTTTCTCATATTTCTCACAAGCCTAGACGAGCCAACCTAATGTTTTTTTAAAATCGACTTGTTTGTCAAAAAGGCTATAAAATATGGAGAGGTTGGTTCATGAGCATAGTAACATGCTCCTGTGATCCCTTAAAATTCATTGGAAGGAAAATAAAGTCATAAGTTTTATGTGATGATTCCCTGATGATGTAGTCCGGGATGTAAAGCTATTGAAGTAGACGTAAATTTAGGTTGTGTTTAGTTTTGGTTTGTGACTCAACAATTTCTGCATGGGGGATAGAAAACTAGTTCAATAAACTACCTACTCTTCTGTAAATTAATGTACTTATCAAGCTTAAGCACAAAATAAAATCAGTTCATGATGTGAAAACAAAAAGAATTAATATAAAAGGTAGAACATGTATAAGGAACCATCACAAAGACAANTTAGGTTGTGTTTAGTTTTGGTTTGTGACTCAACAATTTCTGCATGGGGGATAGAACACTAGTTCAATAAACTACCTACTCTTCTGTAAATTTATGTACTTATCAAGCTTAAGCACAAAATAAAATCAGTTCATGATGTGAAAACAAACAGAATTAATATAAAAGGTAGAACATGTATAAGGAACCATCACAAAGACAAAAGCACGTCAAAAAGCTAAGAATATATTCAAATGTGTTAAAATAAATAGTCAAGCAGAGAGTAAAATACACGCCTTATGGAGAAATGAATAAATATCCGGTGTAAGGGAAATAACTCTCAGTCGTGCTTACCAGAATTGCGTTGCATAAAATCTTCAGTCAAAGATAATTCAGACATGTAAAGTTGCAATGGTTCATCCACCTCCTAAAAATTGAGGAGACACATCGAAAAAGTAATTGCAGCAATAATCATGATCATCCAGATTGCTAAAACTTAAAATGTTTATTACCTTAAAAACAGGGGCACAACAAGGAGCACGAACGGTAGATAGGTGCGTAAATTCTGCAAATACTTTCCATGTCAGGTGACTCAAAACCCGTACCATCTGGTCATAACTTCCCACTGCTAAATACTGGCCACAGGGGGACCATGAAACGCTTTTTACACCGAGTCCACTTTCATATGCTTGATACTTAGATAGGCATCTCCCATCTGGAGAGTAAATCACAACCTAAACCAAACAATTCTGACAATAAGAATTATGTAACACCCAATAACTTCTGCAATAAACACTAACAATATATCACCTGCAGTGTGAATTGATGCATCAAGTTTCCATGATTAAGCATGGTCTTGGAAAATCAACCCACTCCAAGGGAAAAAAAAACAAAAGAAGGGAAGGAGTACTGTTGAACACCTTTCCGATCACAAAAGAATGGTCACAAAGAGCAGACAACCAACAGAATCAAGTTCTATATTGCGGAAATAATAAAAACAACTCAAGAGCTTTCTATTATATTGATTCCAACAAAATAAGCAGATATTTGGTCACATATCCTCCACAAACATAGACAATCTATATAACTGCATTTCATATTGACGTAACTAACCATAAAATAGAACCTTGCAGGATTAAAAAAAATCCACGTTACCTAGTTCCTCTTGGTTTATGAGAAATATATGCATAGGCGTCATAACTATATAAACCCCATCAAATAAGTGTAACCAGTGGATTTTCTGTACCACGTGGGTATATGTATATGGCATCTGAGAGGTCTCTCACTTTGGCCCATGAAAAATGACTGGAAAGCCAAACCGCATGAGTACACAACAGGTTTTGTGAATGGCATATACAAATTGAGACAGAGGGGGTCTAAGGAGAAAATAAATAAATTAACACAGAAGTGATCTCTATGGAGTGAATATACAAACTGGCCTCTGTTGTAGCAAAAATAATGAGAAGAATAACTCTATCACCTTATATTCAAGAGGAGAATCCCAGATAACAATGGCACTGTCATCTGGTGACCACTCAATATCAGCCAAATCCAATGTGTCGACAGCAAAAACACCCATTACCTCCCATGTGTGGCAAGAGAGCAGATTAACATAGTCTTTGCAGTCACGTCTAGTGCAAATTGCAGCAAATTTTCCATCCTTGGTAAAAGATACTCCTTTAGAAGCATGTTTTGGCCACTGCACATGTATACATGCTGTGTTCAATAGTGACCAAACTGTTAACCGCAATTGGAACTCAGAAGTGGTCAGTATGTGGCGGCTGTCAGGACTCCACCTAGCATAAGCAATACCAGCTGGACCTTCATCTATTTTGCATGTCCACTCGGGTTGTGTCAATGACCACACCTGTATCATTGGTCTCTTATATAGACCACAAAGTATGTATTCAGAATCAACAGCCCATTCGATATAGCTGATCTTATCCAAACATGAAAATAACTGCACCACCTGTGTTGAATTCCAAATATAAGTACATAAATTTACCACACAAGGAGAAGAAATGTATACAGTCTGTACATTTCAAATGTCACCAGAGAATTGTCACCTAACACAGTGAACATATTGGACATATTATCCAAGTACCAAAAACCATGGAGAGGAACAGTTGGAACATTGGTATTACTTGTTCTAAAAGAAATGGAGAAAACTCTCTGCTTGTAATTATCTACACAGAGTGAATTTCGAAAACTATACTCACCTACAAATGGTTATCATATTCATTAGGTATCAGGGCCAAATTATTGTAAATGGAACATTCTTTGTTGACCATAGTTTAAAATCGAGTACACGTTTGCATCTTTAGCCACCCTGAAATTACTTTGGACCCTGTCAGAAAATTTTATTCATTCAATGAGACGCCAGTTTAGAGGTCATTAGTTCGATATTTGGGTTCAACCGAATTGGGCATATCATCTTGTTTGGATGATTGAATAAGCTCACGCATGTCTGAAAACAAAAACCTGGCGGGTATGTTTCTAACATATATACGGATGATTATGTTGCATTTATCCTATAAATGTATTGCTTCACAGTGAGAATCAAAGTACCAAAACCCCACCGACCCACCCACCACCCTTCAATATCATGCCCGTCCCACTGTGATTCATCTAATATCCCAGATGATAAAATGCTTTACAAGTCTGCAAACTACCCTTTCTACTTAGCAATGCATTTGATATTTTTGTCACCTTTTCCTTACAAATATCTTCGGTGACTGATTGTAGAGTAATTCAATAAAATGTAAGAAAATGCGAATCAATTTGAAATCTGAAAGATTGAACAATAGATGCAGTACCTTAAGTGTAAGAACATCCCGAATCACGAGGCGATAATCGACTGCAACTGCAAGGTATCGAGCATTTGGGGAGAAACAGCACGGACCAGACTGCTTATAAGTTTCTGTAAACTCCATCAAATGCAACAAATTTTCATGTATAAGGAGATAGATCTCTGAAAGAAAATTGTGGTTTTGAGCTAGAAGTTTTCTGGATCTGGGGACTGGGGTGAAGGCTGAAGAGTGAAGATGTACTGAACAGTGAAGAAGGTTTGTTCAAATTTTGAAACATAGCACCAGATAAAATATTGCGAAAGGGTCAGGGTCCGTTAACCGTTAGTAACGGCAAGGCCGAGAGTAACGTACAAATAAAGCCGGAAGCTGAAAAATGGGAATAATGGGCCGCCGGCTGTTGTAAGCCTGGAACGACGCCGGGTTGATGCCTCCGGGTTTTATTTTTAGCGAGGTTGTAGGTATAAATTTAAATAATATAATTGTTATAAATATTAATTAAATTTTTATACTTTGCACATTGAAATGTTTTATATTTTATATTTTATATTCTTAAAAATTAAATTTTTTGTATTTTAATTTTAATATATTAAAATTATTCTAATACGACTCTTATATTAAATTTTATTATTTTTTAAAATTTAATATTTAAAAGTACGAATTAAGAACTTGTGCAATCTTTTAGAGTGCAACTGCAATTTGCTCTTACTAGTTCCCTGTCAATTGCACACTCAGTCACAAATGATGCGTTGCTTTGGTTGACGTGGCTAAACAAAAATCGTTGATTGGTTGTTAAATGACGTGATACTATGTGAGCCGTAAAATTTGTCTGGCCTACAAACCGTCTGATTCACCTTCTCTGATATTAGGGTTTAAGAGCTTCGAAAGCGCTTTATTAAAACATGAAAAACCGAAAAAAGCGAAAATGAAAATCGAAAACACTTTCGAAAATCAATCGGGAAGGTTTTTTCTAAGCAGTAGCATACAGTTTGCCACTTGATTCCAGGTTTAAATCTCTCTCTCTCTCTCTCCCCCTCCTCTATGTGTTGTCTGATTTGTTTTTNAGCAGTAGCATACAGTTTGCCACTTGATTCCAGGTTTAAATCTCTCTCTCTCTCTCCCCCTCCTCTATGTGTTGTCTGATTTTTTTTTGTTTTTTCTTTCAGTGAACTTACAGAAAATAAATCACAATGTTGCCGAGATGGAGCAGAGCTATAACTCAGCTGTATAGAGTTGGATCACAGAGGAAAATGGAATTTAAGACAGATTTATATGTTTTTTCATCCCGAAGCTATTCCAAAGTTGCCGCCGCCGAGGTGCCGACTCCGACCGATCATAGTGAAAAAATCTATGCTAGTGAAAAACAGGAGGTATAAACAGAGCACATAGGAACTACCTCATTTTCGTGTTTTGTCTTAATTTTTATGTATTGCGCGCGCGCGCACACACACACACTGCAATTGATGTTATGGAGAAGTATATAATCGGAAAAGTTTTTTGTTACTCGCAGACTATCTTTATTAAATTCCTTGGAATCTGTTCGTGTGAGGTCAATAATTTTGCATTTTTTTGTCTAATTATGCACTTGGGACGGAGAAATGTTCTAGGACCGTAATCCACCTCTGTGGATTTAGCCTGATGTAATGAGAACTAAAACAACCAATTGGACTGTCATTTGTGTGCTTAGGTATTCTTGAATTTATCCCAATGCGAACCAAGCCAAAGTGTTCTGGTCATAGTGTATACCAATATATTCTTGAATTGCTTGCAAAACCGTGAAGGTATATATATACCAGTGAGCTCTGGATGGTTTAAATGGTGTGATGTTGAATGTAAGTTCACTTTTCGAATTGCTATTTGTTTATAGCCAAACAAATGAATGATAGAAAATAGCCTACAAAACTAGTGCCTTTAGTCATATATTCTAAGTGTATACCTTTGCATTTGTCTACCTTTTTTCAGTGATGAAGATTCTAGTACACTTTTTGACAGGTGAATATGAATAAGATGTTCTGGTCCAAGCCCTGTACATTGGCTTTAGCCCCTGATTCCAAACTAAGAGTTGAAGAGCCAAAGTATGACGGCATCAAGCGGATAATCCTCACAATGATGCTGTTTTATAGTAAACAAAGCAAGTCCATTCGGGGGGCAAATGTGATTTACCGCCGTGTGATTTCTCAAGTTGATAAACCTGCTACCTATGATGGTCAGTTTTTTGTTGCTCTGCTTCTCAATCGCTATGATATTCTCCTCATGCTTCAATTAGCTGTAGTTTGCATGCATGTTTTTAATATCATGTATACGCTATATTCTTCAAAGCAGCATATACATGCTGATTTTTAAAGTCAAGGAAATGAAATATGGTCAAGTTGCCTGCATATTTTCATCTGAGATTGATCAAATAATCTGATTAGGACAAGTATTTCAGGTTAAATTGAGGTCTCATGGCAAGTTGACTTGTAATAATTTCTGTCAAAAACTCAAAAATTTGAGGTGTTCCCATCCTCTATAGTATATGAAGCTGAGTGTAGTTTATTTTTCTGCTTTCCTATATAAATCTGAAGGAACGAGATCTACTTCCACTCCATTTTAGACCCTTTTATATAAGAGCATCTGAAGAGTTTTTTAAAACAAACCCACACCATCTCAAAACCCTGCAACCAACTGATGCCAGCCATGTGAATTTACGATCAATTAAGATCGACCATTCAAGATGTCACCCTGTGTTACCTATTTCCTTTGTTTCATGTGGAGAACAATGAAGCAGAAAAGCTGGTTAATCCTAAGGACTTTGTGCTGTCTGCAGTATAATTTCAGTTAAACTTAATAGCTTAACTGGTTGGCGTATTTCTCTTGAATTTTATGTGCTAGTGCCAGTCACTAGCATGTCGAGTTTAAGCTGGTACAGTGGTTTAAATCTTTTCAAACAATGTGACCTGGCTTTATGTGACAAACATAGGTCGCTGGACAGCAATGTGATATTACTGATATGTTTTGATCTGATACATTTTTTTTCTTCCCGAAATTGATCTGATACATGTTCATTTCTGCAATTTGCAACCAATTTAGAGATTTCATATCATGTTTAGACAAGAAATATCTGCATATATGTTCACTTCATGATTCTGTCTTAAAATTTGCCATGCTATCTTGAGAGTCATGCAGTCGCCTAACTCAAAATATACCCTTTTACATGCAGTATTTAGCTTGGAGAAAACCTTTAAAACAACATTCTCTTTGCTTGTACTGCATATGTGGCTTTGCTTACGGCGTTTGAAAGAAGAGGGAAAGGATGGTGTTGAGTTGGGGCAGTACTTGTATGAGATTTACAATCATGATTTAGAGCTGAGAGTTTCCAAGGCCGGGGTTAGTGATCTGTGCCTATATACTGGCTTTAATGTTTTAAAATTCGATACCATTGATTGTTTATAGCTTGAACTCTATTCTCTTACTGTGCAAAAGTTTCCAAGCACAAGTTATATAGTGAAAGGGTGATACTTGTCATGTTGAATATTTCTGCTGTAACAACTTCTTCTGGTTTTTCTATTTGTAAACTATGAAACTCAAGCCATATTGTTTTTGTTTTTCTATGAGAAGATCTACGACATCCATAATTCCCAGTGGTCAGTTGTTCCATGATGAAACAAGATCAGCAGATGTAACTGTTTGAAAGTCTAAAATTTTTATGATGGGGGACTCTTTATTCACTGCTAATTTGCGTCGTCATAAATGGTGGTGAACAAATGAGTTAAACAACTCGGTTGGTTTGTAGTGGGGAACTATGATGTATGACCAGTAAAAAATGGGAAATAGGAAGAATGAATATAAAAGAATCTATATTTTAAGCTCTTGTATGAGCATTCAAAGAAAAAAGGANAATGAGTTAAACAACTCGGTTGGTTTGTAGTGGGGAACTATGATGTATGACCAGTAGAAAATGGGAAATAGGAAGAATGAATATAAAAGAATCTATATTTTAAGCTCTTGTATGAGCATTCAAAGAAAAAAGGATTGAAAAGAAAGGAAAAACAAATTGTGTTGCTAGGTGTTCATGTACATCTGATTGAGACTTTGAATTCAAATGGATTTGCTTCTTTCAGTTTGCTCGGTCATTTCCGAGGTCTGCAGTCTTTTGTATGCTTAGATAACCATGAANGTATGAGCATTCAAAGAAAAAAGAATTGAAAAGAAAGGAAAAACAAATTGTGTTGCTAGGTGTTCATGTACATCTGATTGAGACTTTGAATTCAAATGGATTTTCTTCTTTCAGTTTGCTCGGTCATTTCCGAGGTCTGCAGTCTTTTGTATGCTTAGATAACCATGAAACTGATTTGACAAAAGAACTCTCCTAATGTTCCCGATGGCTAAATTTGGTTTAAGAGACTTTAAGCTGACAAGACTGGTGCTTTTCCTAGCTATTCATATGTCATTATTATGCTAATATAAAGTTGCCACGGGACTGGACGTCGAGGCAGTTTGTCAAGGCTCGGAATCCGATTGGTTCACGTATTAGATTATCAGTAACGCGACATAAAACCATTTTTGGCTGAACAGCCAATACATCTCTATGAATATTTTTCCCCCTCCTTGAAATTTCAGGTTAACTTACTGTTAAGCAGATGGATGAAAGACTTGGAAAAGATATTTTACGGAAATATTGTTGCTTATGATGCTGCCATGGTTCCAGAAGTTAAACAGGAGGAGTTGCAAAATGTTATATGGAGGTAAGACATTTAATAGGACATTAGTCTGGGTACTGCTTCAAACACTCCTTTATGATAGTACTAGATAATTCTAATGAGGCATGCTTGTTTTGACCTTGAATAAATTGTTAGATGGGCTACTCCTGTTTAGTTGATGTTGGTGTTACCGTTGAACCTTAACCCTTTTGTTAGCCAATGCCACCTAGCTCGATGGATTAGTATTTGATCATTGGTTTGATTTTTAACAATTTAACATGTTACAATACAGAAGCAGTATGAATACATGGAAGTTCAAGTATGTAGACACTTATCTAAATTTGGTTATAGTATGAAATTTATGGAAGTTCATGTAGGAAGACTCTTATATAATTTGGTTAAAGGTTTGAAAGTTGAGAAAGTAGAAATTCGTGGTGTTTGTGAAACATAATGAAGTTTTGAGAACATATTGTGTTTGGCTTATGAGGCTTGTATCGTTGCACATTTCTGCACCATATTTTCTCCTTTTGCCAATGTATGCCACTACTGTTGAGGGGGTCAATAGAAAGGCAGTGGAGTGAGATCAAAGTTTATAAGACACATCTCCTGCTGAAGAATTTATGGGGAAAAATGTAGTAGTTCATATGTTCTTTTCTTTCCTTTCTTTAGTATTTTTTTACTTAATGGGACTTAAATGCCCTTGTTCATATCACATTGTAGTGAGACTAAGGATTTGGTGAATTGAATTGTGGAACAATCCAACTGGTCCAACCCTGTAACTTGATTTCTTGGTGTCATTTTTCAAATGTAGTTAGTTCCATTAGCTGGTTGTGTTCGATTCAATTGGATTTGTAGAAGTTGTAATCATTTTTTTCAGGATTTGAAGAAATCAAGCTCGCTAGTGGGCATACTTTCTAGGATGTCAAGAAAAAAGGCCTGATTGTCTGGTACTTTTATTTTCTTCCATTTAGCTGGCTTCAACATCACTGTAGTTGCAGCTTGCTGCTGAAAACTTGACGAAGGGCATGAGGGTAGCGCCTTCGGGAAGCTGGCCAGGTTGAAAAGGGCTTCACTGTTGTGCATCTAAAGAAAGCCTTTGGTGTGCAAGGAGGTGCTGGCGATTCCCAACGTAAATCAAATTTTGTGAGCGCCTAGAATTGTGAATGGGGTTAGGTAGAAGTGTAGAGAGCAGCAACAGATGCTCTGGATAGGTTGCTGCTAAAGTGGCGTTATTGATGGGGGCGAGGAGGACCAAGTTTTAAACTTCTTGTCTTAATAACTTTTTATGAATTGTACTAATCAAGGCTGTTTGAGGTTATACTTGGCTCGAAGGATTTCTGAAGTCCAGAGCTGAGAGACGAGTAGTGAGAGTTGTGAAAATTGAGCAGCTAAGAGCGTCAATTTTTGTTTTTCGGTGAAGCTCCTGTTTGAGCTTTAGAAATATGTGTAGTTTGGCTCAGTCTACAGTTAGCTGTTGAATGATGAGCGTACCTGATCAGAAGTCAAGGTTAGAGACAATCGGCGTCATTGTACTGTGAGACCTAGTAGAGAGAGTTGTGATTTAGCTCTTAAGCCTTGGGAAATGTCAGGAAGAAATTAAAAGCCATATAGCAGGAGGTAGAATACATGACTCATCCTCTTCAACTTATCAATTTGCTTAAAGAATTTAATGACATTTTATATAGTGTCTGAAGGGGAGAGGGTCTTTGACTAAAGTAAATAAGATGATGTCTGAATTGCCAGTTTCGGAACTTAATTCTCAGCATCAGAGTTATAAGGTTAAAGTTTTGACATTACCTATGGATCAGTTTTGAAATTACCTATGGATCAGGTTAAAGTTTTAAAGTTTTGTTAAGTTCTAAGTATAGAGTTGTGATTTTGCTCTCCTTGATGTTCTTTATTGATGTTTACATGTGTTTTAGGAATGTCTTCTCTGAGGACAGTTCGTTGAAACCAACTGGTACTGCCTTGCATGCAGTCCAGGCAAGTTACTCTCTACTTTATCCCTTAGATTTTTCAGTTTATATTTCAGCTACGGAAGTTGTCAGGCCATTGCATTTATGTCAATTATGGAACTCTCTGGAAATAGTTTGTTTGGTAGATTTTATTTTGATATGGAAACTGCGACACCTCTCCACAAAGCAAACCAATAATAATGTCATGATAAATTAGGTTATGATGCAAACAACATTAATTGCCTATGGTGATTTATGGTCATTTGCTAATCATGCAACTATGTCTGATGTCATAAAGTACTCTTGATGATGTAGTTGTCGTACCTCCAACAGTTTCTATCCGCCAATGTGGTATGTATCACTCAATATTGGGGCTGTAAGTCCATCCATAAGTGTTCATAAACCATAAGGATAAACTCTTTCTGAAAGTTGCCTTAACATGCACCCTGTTGCCTTCTTCTCCTTCCATTGAAGGCATAATAACTCTGATTCTGAAACTGGCATATCAATATGAAGTTAAATGCAGGCATAGCAGAGTGATCCTTTTCATAAAATTCTTTTTTATCACTAATATTTTTCAGGCAATGTCGAGGTATGTTCGGCGGGAATGTAGTTGCATGTCCTTAACAGGTACACACAATCTGGAGCTTGATAGTAGAGATTAGATTAGAATATGAATCTGTTTTATGGATGTTGAATATGAATATACTTCAGATGCCTTCTTTCTGAGCATATCTTGATGTGATTGAGTTTTATTTTGAGTATTAAACTTGTCTATCAAAACAAAACTTGAGTTGGCTAGAATGATCAACACAATGAACTCCCTCTGAAACCTAGCAAAAACATGTTTGGGAAGTGGAGAGGTTTTGAAGCCAAAGGATAGCACACAGCCCCAGCGTATTGGAAAACTTCCCCCATCATCTCCATGTTTTCACACTTAGTGTGTATAGGATGTAAGAACTGACATGAAAATTATCAACAGAGATTACATATGGAAGTACTATGTGCAAGGTACTTGTTCAAGTAAACTATAGCAATCGTGTTAAAATGCATTTAAACAAGTAATGATCCGCTCACATCTTAGGTTCATAATTGTGTTTTGCTTTTTTGAATTTCCTTGCATAATGGAAGTCCAATTTATGGCAAGCCACTACTTGACTCAATAATTTAAGGTTATTAACTTGGGACTACAAAGCAGTATTTAAGTATGGGATAGCCATGTTATGCAAATAGGGCCTTCGGTTTTGTTGTACCAAGAACAACC